CCCGCAGCTGCACCCGATGAGGATGGAACCGCGGATGCCACCGCTCATTCTCGAGGTGAAGAGCTTTCCTCATTCCTCCCTCTGCATGCTTCTGTTGGTGAGAGGTACCGCTAAAGCCCCCCAGAGGTTAAGCTGGGGCTTCCCCCCACCCACCCAGCCCCAGCACAGGCCACCCAGATCTGCTGGCAAGGGTATGGGGGGAGGGCCGCGCCCTCCCTTTTTTTTTTTTTGCGTTCTGCTCATGGTATCTCTCTGTGCAAGCCACCCCGCTGCCCGTGTAGCTTTATCTCCTTCATTTCCATTAACTGGATCCCCACCAACTGCGAAAGGAGTCGTGAGTGACAGCCAGATAGAGACACCTGCCTTCAGGACGCTTGAGCTGGATCCCACCCAGACATGCCAGCACTTAGTCATGCCAGTTGTGTTAACCCAGCGCCGAGGAGCTGGTTTTGGAGAGAGCACTGGCTGGGAGGTGCTCGGGGAAATGGTTTGGTGTTAGGTGTCAGCGCCCGGCACCAGCAGTGCCGGAGTGGAGTGGGGTTGCTAGGCGCTTCTGGGTCACAAACAAGCAAAGTGTGCCTTCCTCCCTCTTCAAAGGACACTGGGGCCCTCGGGGTCATGCGGGACTTGTGACAGTCATCAGTCTGGATTCCAGCGGGGTGGGGCCATCCCCAACCCTGCCCTGCACACACCGGTGGGACTGCAGCTGGTGTCCCCTCCTGTCTGGTGACAGCCCATGGCTTCTGCTCTGCTGAGCAGCTCCCCTTTAACACCCCCTTTCCCCAGGACCCTGGGGCTCCTCAGGATCAGACGTGGATTTATCAGGGAAGAAGACTTTGCTCAAGGTAGGGGTGGGTATGAGAGAAAAGGAGGTTGGGAGGCACCGAACAGGGGGGCAGGCAGCAGACAGGAGGACTCTGGCTGAGAATGCAGGTTTTGGATCTGAAATTGGGGCCCTCCATGCTTTTCTACATTGAACATGGTGACCTGCTTGGTCACCTGCCACATAAGGACCCACTGGAGTTGTGAGGAGGAGAGACCTTCCCTTGGGAACTGAAGGTGGGAAAGTTAAATGCCAGAGATAAGGGAAGTGTAGAAGTAAAAGGCATCCAACACCTTCCCCCTGCCCCCACTCCTGGCAAGTGGGTCACTTCATTGCTCAGGTATGTACGGCATCCGGAGCCGCTGGTACTGCCTAGAGCAAGCTGGCTCCCAAGGGTCACAGCAGTGTGCCCGTGTGGGTGCACAGGGTTCAGCCCCAGAGCGGCGGCATGGCTCTCCCCCCAGCAGGAACCCAAGCTGGATGCTGCAGGGAGGAGCAGAGAGGAAATTGGGGTTTTGGACCAGTCTGCGAGGACTGAGTTGAGGGTCTCTGATTCTCTTTCCTGCCTCCTGCTGATGCCTTGGCTTTAGGGTATGCTTGAGCAAGGGTTTCCTTGCCGGAGCACGGAGTGGGGGTGTTGCTGGGGGCAGCGCTGCCTTGAGCAGAGGAGGTTAGGTGAGGATGTGACACAAACTGAGCTTGTAGCTTCCTTTAATGAGGGCAGGGACTTCTCAGGGCCTGCACATTCGATGAGGGCGGACAGGATTTACAGCACGGTGCGTACACACGCCAGTACAGTGAGCACAGCGCAGAAAACGCAGTCCCAGTGCAGTGTGCTCGGTTCCAGTGCTGCGGAGCACTTCCCAGTCCAGCTGCTCTAAGCTTCTGCTCATGTAGAAGGGGGTGTATTTGTGGCAAGTACCTGGATTTGGGTGGAAGCCAGCTTACCGATGCGTTGCCAGTATGGCTTGCAGAGGTGCAAAGGCTTTTGGAATTAGGTGGAAGCACAGGTGATATGTTTCGCTGGAAAGGGCGAGGAAATCTCTTGGGCCCCGTCCAGCTTTGTTAAGAGCAGTGAAGTTGCAGCAGGGATGACTTTGGCCCATTGCACTCCAGTGACATAGTTCAGAGCTGTAAAACCCTCGGCTGAAGCATGCAAGGTGTGGGGCGAGATCAGCTTCCTCTCCTGAAGTGCGCTGTAGGCTCTGCCAGGGAAACCTGGTGGTTTTGCCAGCTCTTCTACATATGAATGAGTCTACGAGGGCTTTGCAATGAGCTTGACACATGGATAACCACATAATTAAAGGCTGGAGCTTTAGAGAAGAGCATTAGCACTGGTATCTTTAACCACAAAGAGCAGAACTTGAGTCATCAGATGCCAGGGGATGAATTTCCTAGCGGATTGCTCCATCAGGTTGATGAATTATTGGGCCTGGATGATGCCTGCGTGGGCCTGATGCCACATCAGATGTGAACCAGGAGGGGAAGAAACCTGGCAAGCAGTGATTGTCTGAGCCAGAGGTCCTGTTAGTGTGGAGGACCCAGACTTGTAAAAACAGCTCTACAAAACTAGAGCTAAACCGAGGGTTGGGTGAGGGCTGAGTCACTTTACCAAGGCAAGCCAGTAGCAGTATGCCCGGCAGTTTCCATTTTAGGCTCACAGTCCACTGATTTAGTGGCAGCATCACTTAGATTTGTAGGGCTACAGCCCAAATTATTCTCAATTAATTAAAGATTTCATCCTAGAATATTCTCAGTTAATGAAAGATACTGTCCTAGAAAAAAATGCAACATATCTCAGGCTGTTGAGTTTAAAGGAGACCAGAGCCAGCATGGCTAAGGTGGGCTGCAGATCCAACATGCCCAAAGCGTGAGGCTGACTGGAGCAGAGTTGCTGATTTCATCCCATTTATCATAGAATCACAGAATGGTTAGTGTTGGAAAGGACCTTAAAGACCATCAAGTTCCACCCCCTGCCATGGGCAGGGACACCTCCCACCAGCCCAGGTTGCCCAAAGCCTCATCCAGCCTGGCCTTGAACCCCTCCAGGGATGGGGCATCCACAGCTTCTCTGGGCAACCTGGGCCACTGCCTCACCCCCTACACAGGAAAACATTTCTTCCTCAGATCTAATCAATATCTAATAATTTCTAGTGTTACATTCTCTTGTTTGTGTGACTAAAGCTGTGTACCTAAAGTGTGGCTCTTATCAGGCTATATTTCTCTCGTAACTGCACCCTCTGCCTGGTGTCCCCTTTGCTATCAGTGCAGACAGGTAGGAGGGGAGTGGGACAGAGGACAGTGATTCACTCCTGGGGCGTCTGGGGCTGAGTCAGAGACTGGAGCTAAAGCACCACAGCCTGTGACTCCTGGGCTGTTCTTGCTGCTCTCTCCATTTTCCTGCTAGTTAAGTACTCCTTGAATGTTGGACTCCCCCCACCAGTGTGTCCAGGTCACTTCACAAGTTCTCTTGTCTGTATTTTTTGCCACAGGCACGGTCTGAAATGGATAAGTACCTCTCAAGCGAGGTGCCCCCCATCCCGATGATACCAGACAAGAAGTACCGCCGGGAGAGCGCCTCGGTGGTGGATGAGTTCTTCTCCACAGACAAGCCCACTTCTACGCCGTACAGCGTGAACATCAACGTGATTCTGCCGGACACGACGCACCTGCGCACTGGACTTTACCGACCGCCCAAACCCATGACGCCATTCCCACAGATCAAAACGGAGCCTGGCACCAGCTTTGCCCAGCCCTGCTCCTCTGCCTCCGGCTCCACGCAGACCCTGCCCGACTTCACCAGCGTCTTCAGCATGCCCCAGTCGGTGGCAGTGAACAACATCTTCATCAAGCAGGAGATGCCCTCTGAGATCCCCTTATCCACCCATCCGCAGCCACCCCAGCTTTACCAGATGCCTCTTGGCAACGGAACCGCTGACATCACCACTCTGACGTCATCCTCCAACAGCACCACAGCCATCAACAGCCTCAGTGGTGTCACCATGTCCACAGGCAGCACCATGTCCAGCGTGGTGCACAGGCCTCTCCATCCAGGAGGGCCGGTGAAGCAGTACCCGCATGTCTCCCAGGGACAGGGAAACTTCAACATCTCAGGGCAGTTCTACGCTGTTCCAGGGGTGAACCTGCCCCCTTCGCCCCCCAACTCACAGCCTGGCAGCCCAGAAAATCAGCCCGAGCTCATCAACACCATCTCCCCCCCACCATCCTATGAAGCCACTTTTGGACTGAAGTTGGTCCAGTCGTCCCAGGTCCCCCCAGTCCCCAATGGCCTTGGGACCCTCTCCCAAGGGCACGTTGTCATGCAGCCCCCCAAATACAACAGGCGCAACAACCCTGAGCTGGAGAAAAGGCGAATCCATCACTGCGATTACCCAGGTATGCTCATGGGTGATGTACTGGCTTGGCTTTGGAGGCGGGGGGGTCTCTTCTTGACACACTGAGGCTGGGGGCTGCCTTGGGCCTCCGCAGGAGTTTAATCCAAAATCACTTTGTCTGTCTGCATGATGAAGGGAGCTACGGAGCTGTCTGGAAAGCCCCAGGGAAGGTGGGTTCCTGCCACCACCAAGGGAGTAGAAGAGGTTGATCCTGCCTGTGCTAGCTGATGCCTTTTTCCCCCCTTCCCTTTACCTCTTTGCACTCTGGGAAAAGCAAGGCTGTCTCTGGGAGGCAGAGAGCTCCTGCAAAGCACCGGGATGCTCCTGGAAATCTGCTGCCTTAGCTGCCCATTCCTCTCCGGTCTTGCCTAACCTCGAGCAGCCACATGCTCTCTGCAGGTGAAGCCATCCTGACTTTCTCCCTTTCTCCCTGACCTTTCCTTTCCCACTCTCCCATAACGAGTGGCAAACCATCGAGTAATTTCCACGAGCAGCCTTTACGGTTTCACTCTGTAGCCTCAATTCTCTTCTTCCAGAGAGGCAATGAGCTGAATATCTCTGTGTCGTATCCTTCGGCGGCTTCACATGCTGCATCAGGATGGTGTGGGAAGGCATTTCGGGGTGATGCTCAGCCCAGAGCTGAGGCTGGTCCCTGTGTGTCACCTCAGTGCATGAGTGTGTCCAGCTAAAGCCCTGGGATGCAGGGCAGGAGATCTCGCAGGGTTTCCTGCACTGTGCAGAGAGCTCGTGGGACCCACAGCTCCAAACTCTCATTCAGAGGAGAGAAGCAATCGTGTCCTTGGCGAGAAACCCCAGTGAAACCAGTGTGAGGGCTTGAAAATCACCAGTCCTTGTGCAGAGACACACACCTCCCACTTCCTGGGCCGAGCCCCAGCCATCGAGCTGTTGGGGATTAGCAAACAGTTTTCCCATGGAGGTGTGTGAGCTGAGGAAAGTAATTTCCTAACTGCCTCCTGCGAGATTTATGTGCTCTTTCCGTGGCACGGAGTGGCTGTAGTAGGTCAGCCCCGAGGCCCGTCTAGCCCAGATCCTGTCTCCAGCTGTGACTCGAGGAAATCTGTAAGAATAGGACTTAGGGCATGTTTAGAGAGATCTTTCTGTGCTGACACCTTCCCACCCTCTGGCAACCTGCAGGTTAGGGACTTTCTGAGCCAGAAGCTGCACCCATGTTCTTGTGGTTAACAGCTTGTGCTGATTTTTTTTCCCTTCTGCTGGTCGCTGTGGGAGAGAGATTAAAGGTGTGAGCAGACCACTGCTCTGAGCCAGACCCCTGCCCTCTCGTCAGAACTGCTCACCGCAAGAGCCTCATGCTGCAGGATGCGGTACCAAGGCAAAGCTCGCCTGTTTGCAGCAGGATTTTGGCCCGCATAGGAAGGCAGGAATCCATCTGTGGTGCAAAAAACAAAAAACCCCACAACCTGCGCTGAATAAACACTATGTGGCTTGATAGTGTGTACGTGCAGAGACAGCAGAGGGGCTTCTCCTTGTCCTTCATGCTGAGGTTCAGCTGGAGGTGAAACCCGTCAGGCCTGATGGCAGGGGCAGGAGGTCTCGGTGCCGTGTCTGCGTGCGACAGGAGGCATGCCAACCTCACACCGGGAACTGGAGGAACAGGGGAGACCTGTTCGCAAAGCCCTGATCCGCGTTTCCAGGTGGTGGCCCCAGCACTTTTTCCTCCGCGTGCTCGTGGGGAAACGAAGCTCGGCCGTGCCATTGCTCTGGCTCCTCTGTGCTGCTCCCTCGGGGTTTGGAAACCGCTCTGGGTGCTCGGCGGGCTTCGTTTCCGTGCCCAGCGGGGAGGCAGTCCTTGGGCTCATGGGTACTCATCTCTCTCCCGAGTGTCAGGGACCTCTGAGACTTCAGAGCATCAGAAGCAAAAGTGAAGGGGGTCAGCAGCCCTTATCCCTCCTCCCATGGGGAGGCGAAGAGCTGATCTTGTGCACGAGTCGACTTTAGGCTGTGTGGAAACACTGGAATGAAAAACAGGACTGTGTTGCTTATGCAAGTCATAAAAATTCAAATTTATATTTTAATATACTTGTCAAAACACAAGGAAGCAGGGCCATAAAGGCAGCATGAGAAGCTTTTCTAAGCTTTATCTAACTGAAATGAGGAACTAGCAATGATTCATTTTGAGACGCCTGTTGTTGAAACCTTTGCCAAGGCCACGGTCTTTCTGTTAAGAGCCTTTCTTTGATTAAACCTGTAGTTGCTGATCTTCTGAAAAAAAACCCTTCCCACTGGCTTTGCTCTGGATCCTGAAAGCCAAGCTGTGGGTCCGCAGCATACCTGCTGTTTCCTGCTTCCTGCAACATTTTCCCCACATCTGCTGGGGCTGGAGCTATTGGAACATCTTTCCTCCAGCCTTGCAGCAGTGATATCATCTGGAATCCAGAAAGACAAACGTCAGCGCAAGGCTAGCAGCTAACGGCGGTGAATTTAATGTTTTCATCCTGCCTTGAAGTCCTGGTTGCGGAACGGGGATTTGAAAGTCTGTGTCTGACTCTCCCCCCTCTCTGCGATTCCCAGCGCAATGCCCATGGGTGTCAGGACTGCGTGTTGTAAAGGTCTGTCTGTCTTGGGGAACAAATGCTCTTTAGTTACTGCGGAAACAAACCAGGTGTAGCCAGGCTTATTTGCGTGCTGTTACAGGGTGCTTTTCAGGCCTGCTCTGTCCCTAACCTCAGATGGAAATGTTCCGGGTTTGTTGGAGCAAGAGCCCCTTTCTCACGGGGAAATTGTGTCTTTTCTGTTTCTGCAGGTTGCTCCAAAGTTTATACCAAGAGCTCCCACCTGAAGGCACATCAGAGGACTCACACAGGTAGGAGCAGCACATCGTCAGGAAACTCTGCCAGCCTCCACTCCTCACCCTGCGCCTGTTAATGGCGCTGATTATATAGCCTGCTTGATTACCTTAATCTAGAGCGGTTATTGGGGTAAGGAGCACAGTTGAGTCTATTGATGTGTTAAAAAAAAGTCCAGTGGTTGCACTGGTTTATAGCGACTGTGTGCTGCTGTGTGCGCTTGCCTTCCAGAGGGGTGGTCTAGAATTTAGGAGAACTCTTGGGGGCTCTGGACTCGATGGATTGGGAGGTGGAGGTGCCCCCAAACCTCTGTCACACTGAGCTCTTCCTTTGAGATCTCCCAAAGCCAGGTCTGATCCTGCTTGGCCTACAGAAAGATGGTGTAAAGGCATGTGGTGCATATAGGTGACCTCGGAGGAGACCAGGGCTGTCTCTTTTGTGCCAAGTGTCCTTGTGGTTCCCGAGGAAAGGAAGGAACCCCTCGTAGCTCCTTCCACTTGTGCCCAGTGCTTGTCCCCTGAGCCCCTGCCAGGGGCGTATCACTGGAGCTGCCAAATACGCAAACACCAAAGGGCTGAGAATACACGAGAGGAGGGCTCAGAATCGGTGACAGAAGGGCTGAGCCCTCATTCCCCAGAGCAAAGGTGCCGTGAGCTGCCCTGGCTGGTGTAACCAGGGTCATAGCGCAGAGGAGCTCCCACCATAGCCAGCTTCCCGGGGTGAAGCTAGCTCCGTGGCACTTGTGCATTCAAGCACAGGTCTCCTCATTAAGGCATTTATTATACCTGAAACGTTATCAGATCCCCAGGTAGTCCAGGAACCATCAGTGCCCTCATAAATCTCTTTTATAGAAGGGCTGATCTTTACTGAAAGCAATTAAGCTGGCCCAGAGTTCACTTTTCTTTTTTATTAACAACGAACAAAACCCATCCTGAGGCTGGGAATCAGTTCTTGCACTTGGCTCTGTTCCGTTTTCGTCTTATCAGCCCTTCGAACAAGCCAGCAAAGAATTTTTCTTTGTGCATGAGGTACAATATTTTTTTGGCAGGGCCTGGGTAGGAGCAGGCTGGAGAACAACACGGAAGGGGTGGAAGAAAGGAACAGGAAAGACATTGTCCCAGCTCCCAGAGCTGGCTGGTGATAAGCATTTGTCACAACAGCAGTCTGTGTTCAGGGCTACGCCAGGGCTCTGGCTTTCAAATGAAATATCTCTTTTCCCTTTCCGTTTGGAGCATGGGTCTCAGCTCAGTGCCCAGAGACGCGACCCATTTGAGACATGCACTGTCCGTACATGTCACAAGATAAAGGTGTATCCAGGCCAACTGGGGTGGTTTTTGAACCCAGTGAAATGCGATCATTTTTCCAGGTTTCCCAGTAACCGGGCTGGAAATCCAAGTGCATCCGCCTCCTTCCCCTTCTCTTGCTGTAAGAGGGAAAGGCAGAGAGGTGAAGGAGGATGCGACCTGAGTAGTCAAGAAAACTGGTGGTGGTGTGGGACGGGTAAAAAAGACAGGAATCCAAACCAGAGAGCCATAGGCAGGCAGGCTCAGGGTGTCTGCATCTGGTTTTGAAGTCTCATGTTTTACTTTTGAGGCGAGCACAGCACCGGAGCTGCACCGGCAGGTCCCGTCCCAACTCCTGCCAGCTCAGTATGCTCGACACCGCTTCAGCTCCATCACTTGAAGGGTTAATAACGCCCTTCCTCTCCATTCCTCGCCTGATGGGAGCTGGGCTGAGAAGTACCTGATCTCCAAGATCTTTTCTTGTGGTTTGCCCGTTGCTATGGGCTGGGCCATATTCATCTCCTGGAGACACCATTCATTTCCTGGGTGCCATTGTGAGATTAAATATATAACCCGGGGGCTGCTCCCCCGCCTCCCCGGGCGCTGGGAATGCCAGTTTGGGTCCTTTGTTTGAGCTTGCCCTGCCGTGCTGTCCTGGGAGATGGAGCCAGCTCGTGGCACAATGGAAAGCATTTTATTTCTATCCTGGAGATCAACCTGTTATTGTTTGAAACTAAAGGGCCTTGGTAGGGGTGACCCAGCCAGGTGACCCGCCTGGGACAATGTCTGGGGCTGCGCAATGCAGATCCCGCCTTTGTCTTACAGCACGCTAACGCAAACCCTGAGATCCCCCAGCGTGCCGTAAAACGGCCGCTTGTAAATTGACTTTAAGTGCTGTATTTACCCGAGCCATAAAAAAATCCACCTCTCTCCTCCCAGGGTGCAGAGCCCCGGGGGCTTTTTGGGGAGCAGGATGTGCCCTGTCTCCTCCAGATCTGCGCCTCTGTGCTTTCATATTTTGTCCGGTGTGTGCACGACACCGTAGATCTTGCTGTTGTCGAAGTGTTTTCTGTCTCCCAGCCAAACCCGCCGCCTGCCTAGCGCCCAGGCTGCGGGGCGGACCGGCCCGTTCAGCGGGAGACGTGTCGGAGCACGACACGCATGCCTGTGCGTGCACGCTGCGTGCGTACGTGCATCCGTGCCGCGATGGTGCGCTCGGCAATTGGCCGATGAAACGGTAAATATTTGAGGTCGGGAAAGTCAGCACATTTCTCTGAACTCTGCCTGCTTGTTCAGGCTGTTAAGAGCGAGGGCTAATATTTGAGAGCACCACACCCACGCAGGGAGAGGGCTGCAGCCAGAGTTCAGCTCTACAACCTGGGCACGCAGGGGAGTTGGAAGCAGCCACGGGCTTTTCCAGCCCGGTTCCCAGCTGGCTGAGAGGTTGCACAATTTAATTTATTTCAGTTTGGGAATAGGTGTGGATGGGCAGGAGGCAGGGGGGGGAGAGGGCAGAGGCATTACATCACCCAGATGCTCTGAGGAAAACATCATGTTTTGTGTACAGAGAGCTGCCAGGGCTAGTGTTAGATGGTGGTTTCAAAGATGCGAGGCTTTGAGGAAAATTTCTGTGGTTTAACCCCCTGCTTCCTCCTGATGCCTCCCCAAACCTGTATGAGCAGGAAGACCTTCCGTAGGAATTTTTGGCTTTTTACTTAAAGAACTCAGAAAAAAGTTTTAGCCAGAAATGCTCCAAAATCCGACAGGAACTTGACCAGCACTAGAAACCAAGCCTAGAAAGCAAAGCAGGGGGGGCACACGGGCAAGTCCTGGTTACTGCAGCTCGACAAGTGGTGGTCCCATGGTGGCTACGGACCGTGGACAGCCAGTGACCCCTGGTAGTGTGACACATCAGCGTGACCACGAGCCCTGGTGTGCCGTGGGGCAGCCCCGGGTGCCCTCTGGGGTATCCCAAGGGGGACGGACACCCCTGAGAGGACGCGGTGGGGGTTTGGGAGGCTGGGCAGATGCGGGTCTGCGTCGGTTTTTGAATGCCTGTGACCTGTGGCTCTTCCCTGCAGGCGAGAAGCCCTATAAATGCACGTGGGAAGGCTGCGACTGGCGCTTTGCCCGCTCCGACGAGCTGACCCGGCACTACCGAAAGCACACGGGCGCCAAACCCTTCAAGTGCCTCGCCTGCGGCCGGTGCTTCTCCCGCTCCGACCATCTGGCTCTCCACATGAAGCGGCACCAGAACTAGGAGCCGCCTACGTTCG